AGAAAGAAAGAAAGAAAGAAAGAAAGAAAGAAAGAAAGAAAGAAAGAGGGAAACAGGATGGAAGAAAGGAAGAAAGAAAGGGAGGAAGGAAGGAAGAGAAAGAAAGAAAGAAAGAAAGAAAGAAAAGAAATGAAAGAAAAAGAAAGAAAGACAAAGAAAAAAGAAAGAAGAAGAAAGAAAGGGAAACGAAGGATGGAAAAAAGAAAGAAAAAAAGAAAAAGAGAGAAAGGAAGGAAGAAAGGAAGAAAGGAAGGAGGACGATCAGCAACAAGATGGATGGGCTCAGTTACAGCAATGATGTAGGCCTCCTTGGAAGATCTGAAGGACCAGGGTTAGGGACAAACCATTTTGGAGAAGGTCCTATTTATGTAGACATTAAGAGTCAACTTGACTTGGTGGCACATAGTCAATCAATGGGTCAGTCAATGCAAAGACCTCTGCAGAAGGCTCTGATATTGGGAAAGGTAGAAGAAGAGGACAACAGAATGGATGGACTGAGTTGTAGCGATGGGGGCGTCCTTGGAAGACCAAGCTGGGGACAGATCACCTTGGAGAAGGAAGGTCTACCTCCTACACAGTCATTAAGAGTCGGCCTGACTCGACATAACCCATCAGTTGTCAGTCAATGCAAAGCAGAAGTTCTCATGCTGGGAAAGATGGAAAGAAAGAGAAGAAGGGGACAACCAGCAGGAAGGATGATGGACTCACAGTGGTGACGGTGGCAAGAGGAACTGAAGGGTTAGGGGCAGCTCATCAGGGAGAGAAACTCATATGGTTGCTAGAAGTTGAAAATGACTTGATGGCACTGTATCTGTCTGTGTCTGCCCAACTGTCTGTCTATCTATCTATCTATCTATCTATCTATCTATCTATCTATCTATCTATCTATCTATCATCTACCTACCTACCTAGTTACCTATCTGTCTATTTATCTACCTACCAGAGGTGGTATTCAGCAGGTTCGGACCAGTTCTGGAGAACCGGTAGCAGACATTTTGAGTAGTTCGGAGAACTGGCAAATCCCACCTCTGACTGAAGACTTTACAGTATCCTTCCCCTGCCA